TTGGAGGCCATTACTAGTAGTAGCAAGAAGCTGCTAGGTTGGAGGCCATCGCTATTAGGTTGGAGGCCATTACTAGTAGTAGCAAGAAGCTGCTAGGTTGGAGGCCTATTGTGTTTGTTTTCACTGCGTTTTAGGCAACGTCTTTCTGGTGGAGTTTGGTTTCGACTCCAGCAGCCCCGCCGAACGCCTCAGTGCCGCAGCCACTGAAGCACCCCAGGCGCAACAGCGCCCGGGGTGGTGCTTAAGCGCAATGCGTACGTTCATTCGTTTCTGTGCGCACGCTGGGTATAGTATGGACTAAAATCATGTTTTCAAATCGAGCGCCGAAAAGTATCATCCAAAGTGACTTGGCCACCCCCGCATGCCTCCGCACGTGTTGAAGGTTCGGACGCTAGTAAACTTTATGGTCGACTACTTTTTGACCAACCTTGCTGGAAAGGAGAATCTTGGCAACTCATTTAGCAATCAAACAAGTTGAATGCGCGCAGGCCCCTCCCTTAAGGCTTCTACCGGATCAGATTGATTTGCTTGCAAGTGGTATGCTTGTGGTGTACCAAAGCAGTGTGGTATTGTTCACTTGACCATAATATCAAGAGCAGCCATTGGGCAACCACATGCTCCTGACAACCCAAGGAATGTGCTGCAGATTCACTTCCAATCCATTACCACACTGATGCCTAGTGGATATTTTCTTCTGGAAGCACCTACCGGATTTGCAATTCAGGACTGCCCAGTCGCATTAGCAATCGCCTTGAACAGGATGGTTTCGCAAGGAGTGGAGCTTCCAATCACAACGATGGCAGGAGAACTGTGCTGTCTTGGAGAGTTTGGCATTGGAGGAGCCCTTCCAGGCTTGGCCAATCGCATTAAAGGGCCAGCAAGACATGACCAACCTCATCCAAGGATTTGGCTGCGAGTGGTGCAAATCTCCAGTGCAGCAGCCTGGTGCTTTTTACAACCCAGCATGTACAGGTGCATGGGAGGGGGTATTCTTGAAGGGCCTCACAGATGAGTGTACTTGAAATGCATAGCAGTACTTGTTTTTAATGGAAACATGTTTCCTTTCTCAATTTCTCAGAATGTTTGAAAACATCAATAACAACCTTTTGCTTTGTTTTTATTTCGCTTTCAGGTCACCATCTTCGTGTCAAGTGGCACGGTGAAGGCAGCCGCCTATAGCTTTGGCCTCAGCGCCCGAAACCCTCTTGTGCCGGAGCGAGGCAAGGAGAGAGAGCGACAAAGCGAGCGAAGGGAGAAACGTCGCTTCTTGTTCCTAGTAGTAAGGCCAGGAGCCCCTAGTAGCGTCCTTGCTCCTAGTAGCTATGCCAGGAGCCCCGCTCGCTCGGCCCCTCCGTACTTAGTAGGTTAGTAGGTGCCTTATTGGGAGAAACTTGTTCGCTCCTGGGACGCTACATATGGACGTAGGATATTATCCTAATGATTTGGTTCCTAGATTTTTAGGGAAACTTAATCTTTGTTGAACATGACACAAGAGTCAGAAAAAGTGTCCGAAAGAATCTCGAGAGAACACCACACCTGGAGGCCTTCTTTGGACTATCTCCAGCTTTGCGAATCCGCAGCAGATTGCAGACCTGAGTTCCACTGTGGAAGGCAGAAGCCACGGGATGACATGATGTCAGTCAGGTTGCACTGGCAAGTAAAAGCGACGTTGGCAGTTTAGATTCCGGATTTGTTTGGAAACTCTGTGGTAAGAAAACATGTTCAAACATAATCACAAAACATGTTTCATTCATTCCAATTTTCAGGTTTTCAGGTTGAGACGCCAATGCTCTTCGGTGCATTGTTGGGACGTGACAGCGGCATCAGCTACAGCGCCACCCGCCGTGATGATCACCCTGGACAGGCCGAAGGGACCCGAAGGGAGGTCGAATGTCGAGAAAAAGCGTGGCTTTTTTATGTTCAATGAAAAAACAAAAAAATGTCCACAATGTTCCTGATCAAGTCAAAGCGGGTAAGGGACAAGGGAAATCTCCTTGCAACCCTGAGAGTGCTTCAAGACTCAAATGATGCTATACAGTATACGTTGCTCATCTAGTTGCTATATATATAGATAGAGAGAGAGAGTTACTGGAATTTCGGGATAATTAAATACTGAGACGGACCGAGCGCTAGGTGACCAACGTGATCCTGGCTTTTGCTCCTGTGCTGAGAAGAGTGATGGGAATTTGAGTGATGTGCGAACGCAGTACTTTCATGTTGTTCCTTTTTAGAAGCCAAAGCGGTCATCTTGGTTCTTCGGCGGAACTGCTTGTGTTGGCTTTAACATTACCGCATCGATTCGTCATTCCCGACGTTGCAAGGAACTGAGCAACACACCCTCGTTTACAGGGGCAGCGACTCTTGTGGTGAAGGCCCCTCCAGGCTCCTTGGGCGTGCACAACTGTGGTCGTTTACATGAGACATTCTTGTGGCCAAGCGACTGGCAGCAAGCCATGACTAAGGTTTTCAGTTCCCTTCGCTTTGCAGCTTCATGGTCGTTGGGGACTGGACATGCGGTAACGGTTTGGAAGCTTCTGGTCCAAGTGCAGACGCAAAGAGAGCAATGGAAAGAGCGAAGAAATTGGAGTTGCAAGTGGCCGATGATTTGGTGTTTTTGTGTCACCAGCTTCGCCTGTCGAGAGGACATCTTTGGGGATGGCATCCCTTTTCCTGCGATCTACTTCCCTTTCGATCCAAGCGCAGTGGTTTCGAGTTGTCAAGGCACACTGGGGAACCTGAGGGCTATTGGTTAACTTCCTTTAAAATCTAGGAGCAAATCATTAGTCCGAGCGCTTCTTCAACGAAGCTTCCTTAGGGCGGCGGGGGAGCTTCCTTGAAGAAGCGTGAGCTATCCTGCGTCCAGTAGTTAGTAGCTACTTAAGCTACTAGCTACCTAGCTACTACTAGCTACTTCCTACTTCTACTCGCGGCCTACCCCCAAAAATTATCCCGGCAAGCGACCCCAAACAGTGTGTGTGTGTGAGGTCTATAAGCAGAAAGTGCAGAGATCTAGACGCATTGGTGTCCAGAGAGGTGATGGTGGTGATGAAGGTGGGGATCGTGGTGACGGTGGCGGTGGTGGTGAGTGAGTGAGTGAGTGAGTGAGTGAGTGGGAGGGAGAGCTGAGAGTGAGAGCGAGTGTGAGTGTGAATGTGAATGTGAGTGAGTGTGAGTGTGCATGTGAGTGTGGGTGAGGGTGAGGGTGAGAACGGTGAGAGTGAGAGAGTGAGCATCTGAGCGCACAAAGTGCTGCGCCTGCTACGAAATCTGCACTTCGAGGTTCACAAAGTGCTGTGCCTGCCACGAAATCTGCACGTCGAGGTTCACGAAAAGTCGGGCACGAGGTTTCTCTTGCACCTGCCACCAAAAGTCACCACCACGTGCAAAAATGCGCACGGCGCCACAACGAGAGCGCAGTCGTTAGAAGCACCCGCCGCGGACACCCAGATTCAGCGAGCCTGTGCAGTCGAAATTCTCGTGGACGATTTCGAGAGGCAGCGATTTAGCCGGACACGCCCGCGCGCTTCAGCGATCTAAACACACCTGCTTTTCTACTACCGTAAGAACCCCTAAGTGCGTCCACACCGCTTGGGGAAAGACAGAAAAAGAGAACTTTGATTACAGGTGAAACGACTCCTAAGGAAGTTCATTCATGATCCGGTCTTCGCCGCCAAAGCTTTGAGAAAAGCGAATGAGTTTCGAAACGATGAGCCGGAGCAAAATTTCCCTTAATGAGGTTCTCAAAGCTGGACTGAACAGGAGTTGTCCTGTTTCGCTTATCAGTTTTTCAGCACGTGTCTTTCATCTAGAGTTCTTTAATATGGATTTTTTGCAAATTTGCCAATATTTTGTCGAATTTCTTTTCATGTTCTTTCACATAGAGGATGGAGCTGTTGAGGCCATGGCCACCGGGCAGAGCTGCAGGTTGGCTTGGGGCTGCGAGCCCAGCGGCGCTACGTGCTGCGCTTGGAGGTGGTCAACCCCGAACAGACATCCGCTACGTGGCGCAGAAAAAAACGAAGCGTAGGACGCACAATAAGTGGTGCGATCTCCACACCCTATTAGGTTGGAGGCATTTGGAGGCCATCGCACCATCGCGAGTAGGTTGGAGGCCATCCCTATTAGGTTGGATGCCATTGCTAGTAGGTTGGAGGCAATCGCTAGTAGGTTGGAGGCAATCGCTAGTAGGTTGGAGGGCATCGCGAGTAGTTGGAGGCCATCGCTAGTAGGTTGGAGGCCATTGCTAGTAGGTTGGATGCCATTCCTATTAGGT